CGCCTGGAGTAAATAATTGGTATAGGAGGCCGCTTGTAAGTGCGCGTCAGGGATGCTTTTGCCAGCAGACCTGATCTCGCCAGTCGCCTCAAAATGGCTCCATTCACGGTCTTTAAAGATTTGGGAGACCGTTTTATCTTCCCAAGCCTCGTCACGAGACTTTCTTATTCCCACAAAATCTGGCCGGCAGGAGGACTCCGTCGGATGGGGGCTGGGCTTGTTTTCGCATTTGACAAAGTATATCGGTTCCTGCTCTTTAACTTGGGATATGTCAACAATATGAATCGATACAGATAGGCGGGAATAGCCTACATTTCTTATGGACGATGCCGCTAAGCTCGTTTAGATACTCAACAAAGCACTCGTTATTCTTGCGACGAATGCCTTTGGAAATCTTCTCAAAGATAGCTATCTTGTCTTGGAGGTCAAGTAGCTCCCAGAACTTTGCTAGGTCGACGTCCTCGATAACCTTACTGACGACGTGATTGGCGACCTCCTCCCGGACATGTATAGCGACTGATTGTTGTCCCTTTTTGACGGGGGAAGATTTATAAAGAGTAGAGAACATTTTTGTGATCTCTGAAGTGGATTCTGAAGCTACAGACATGGTGGTTGGAGGTAAGATGTGGCGAGGTGGGCTGGTGGGCTGGTGGGCTGGACTTGACAGGACGCGCCAGCTCGGTACTCTCTCGAGCTTGATACTCACTAAATCACAAATTATAGCCACCAGAAAGCTATTTATAGCTTCAAGCGCCTTGAATTCGCGTCAATATTCTGAGTCCCTCATTGTGACGGGCTTTAAGACGGTATTCCTCTATTCTTCCCACCTATTTCGTCTCATTTATTATTGAATCTTCCCAAGATATAGCTCAAAAGATGAGAGAAGCCTCGGAATCGGTACCAACTCTAAGAATTAGTGAACAACTGGACATGCCCCACCCCTATGGCTGGTTGGGGTGCATCCCTCACTGGGTACATGTACCCATGTTCATCTGATCTACCCATAAAACAGTCTCTCTATACCTATAAATAGACCAGAAGTCAAGTCTGTATCCAGTAATCCCTTCGCACGAGTCACAAAATCTGCCTAGAGGAAGGAGGAGCTTCCTTCACATACTCTAGATAGAGCCCCCCATCATCTCTTGAAGCCAACCTCGAAAGTCCAGCTGATACAGTCGCTGCACAAGATTTGGATATCATCTTCGATAGGCCTCTGAATAGTTTCCCAAGAATAACCGTAGCTGCAGTGTGTTTCTCCATGCTCCATCTTTTCCTCGTCCTAACTTATTATGTATATCTTACTTTTATCCAATAAAGTAATGACCCGAATAGGACTCTTGATAGTAATGAGAACGAGTGACGGCTTATGCCGTTACTACTTCGAAGACACGCTGTAATCAGACTGGGATAGGCGACGAGAACTGAAGGTAGATATAATATGTAAATGTCTATATATAGAAGAAGACGTGTCCATATAGCTGCTCCATAAAGCTAGCTGACATAGTATATTAGAACAAATCGAAAGATACGATCATGGATACACTCGTTATAACGTCTATTGAACAAGAAAGAGCCATGTGGAAAATTCAGCGAGAAGAGAATGTGAGTCGAACAAGAGCAAAATTCACTCCAAAAACACGGGGTCATGTAAAGCAAAGGGTTTTCACGGGGACTGCTTTTTAATCTGGTTCAAGTCAGTATGCATGTGCGCACATAGATCAGTTATGACTTACCCGCTTGCTGGTTCGCATCCCTACCACTTGTTCATCATCTTTGGGCTCACGTCCTCTTTTGGTAACCGAAGAGTCAGCTTGGCTACGACTGGCTTTGGAGTCCTGCCCTGCCTTGGATCCTGTGACTTTGGGTTGGTTCATCGTTTCGGCCTTTTGCACTTCACGTAGATGCCGACTTTTTTTCAGGATAAAGAAGTCGCTATTCTTCCTGCCATGTTCACAAAGAAAGTCGAAGACGAGTCGTTGAAACGACTCGTGGAGGTATTCAGGATCCCTTCGGCTTTCCATAAGCCCATGATCGCCAGCTAATTGTCGACCCATTGCCCTGAGAAGCGTCTCCAGAGGCTGATAGGCAGGATGCAAGACTTCTTCAGGAAATGGCTCAATATAATAGAACCGTAAATCATCCTTATCAATCACTCCCGTTAAGGCGTTCCAGTGTGTCATTTTGATGCAATCACCTTCCCATCCTTGGACGTCTGGCTTTGCTTGGATAGCCCACCATAACAATAACCAGAAGACAGATTCGGCGTCGTAACGCAGCTCATGCTGAAATTGTTCTAGGAGGATTTCATCTTCGAGATACTTGCTTGTCTGCTCATTGGGCGGAAATGCGTAGAGGCGACTGGAGAGGTGACTGCGATATTTCTCCAAGCCTTCGTACAACTGAGGCATCGGATGAAATAGATGGATTCCATATTTAATTTTACCCGAACGCACGACGCGTGCCATGAATACAGGTGTACCCTAATCGATCCAATCAGTATACCTAGAGTACAAGAGTATCATGTCATCGTACTCACCGTCCGAGGTTTAGGTTCGCCTTCGGTCTCATCTTTTAGAACCTCTCCCATATCGAAGTCGATTAGAAGTAACGGCGTTTGTAGTCTTCTGGCCCTGAAACAAGTTAAGTCAGGACCAGAACAATCAGTGAAAGGAGTACGAACTTTGGATCAGGTCCATACTCTCCCAGTAACGATGTTGCAAAATGCATTTCTTTGAACTTTTTCTCCATTGCCTCTGTGGCAATTGATGGCTTCGATCTAATTAGGGCATTCCCTTCGCTAATATCGCGATGAAAGGTCGACCGTTCTCGATATAAAAAGCGGCCCACTATATTCCGTTAATCAGGAAAACACAGGGATGGATGTTGTCTCACCTTCTAATAAATCGTAGATCGCAATCAATGCGGCCTGTGGTGTCTCCGCAGTCATCAAAGACATCCCTCTATCCACCATCACCAAGCAAGTCCTGTGCCTTGTCTCTGTCCTCGTTGTGATTGTACCGTCCGATTCGTTTTCTGATATTTCCAACTTCACGATAACCTTGTCGGCTTCTTGAAAGGGTGTAGTTTGAGCTTTGATTCGGACCACGCCCGGAAACGGAACTTGGTCATGAATATGGTTCAAAGTAGCCGGTTCTGAGAATCTTCGGTCAGTCTCAATATATTGGATCTTGATCACAATGTCGTCTTCGGTGTCGGTATCCGGCCCCTCAAAGATGGTGGTGCGTCTTCCGAAAGCTATGCCCGTATTGATCAACCTGCATCCCTCATATGTCGTGTCTACTATGCGAAGGCTGAACGTTACATCGTCAGGTCCAGCAATTCGAGTGATAATCGGATCCTTGAATGGATCGTATAGACGGGTTAACCAGGCACATAAGATCGCACTAGCGGATTTATTTCTCCAGCCGAGCGGGTTCAGATAGGCAATACCGCATGGATTGCTAAGAGCAAGACGAAAACCACCTTCCTCAACATAAATGCCAAGGACGTGAGTCAAATCAGGGCGGGCCTGAAGTAGATAATTGGTGTAGGAGGCCGCTTGCAGGTGAGCCTCATCACGAGTCTTGCCTGCAGACCTAATTTCACCAGTCGCTTCGAAGTGGCTCCATTCACGATCTTTGAATATCTGAGAGACTGTTTTGTCTTCCCAGGCCTCGTCACGGGACTTTCTTATTGCCACAAAATCTGGCCGGCAGGAGGATTCCGTTGGATGGGGGCTGGGTTTGTTTTCGCATTTGACAAAGTATATCGGTTCCTGTTCTTCGACTTAGGATATGTCAACAATATGAAGCGATACAGAGAGGCGGGAATAGCCTACATTTCTTATGGACGAGGCTGCTCAGCTTGTTCAGAAACTCGACAAAGCACCCGTTTTTCTTGTGATGAATGCCTTTATAGTCTTCCTCGAACTCAAGTCTCCTGTCTTTGAGGTCGAGAAGTTCCCAAAACTTTTCTAATCGGACGTCTTGGATCGCCTTGCTGACGACGTGCTCGGCGACCTCTGCCCGGACGTGTATAGCGACTGATTGTTGTCCCTTTTTGACGGGGGAAGATTTATAAAGTGTAGAGAACATTTTTGTGATCTCTGAAGTGGATTCTGAAGCTACAGACATGGTGGTTGGAGGTAAGATGTGGCGAGG